AATAGGATTGAAGGCCCAGGGGGAACCCGGGATCCCGTCCAATGGGGCTGGGGCTGTGCCCCCCCCATTTGGGAGCGATGCGTCTTAGGGAAACGGTGGTTTGGGGGGTCCCAAAATCCTGGGGGGGGGGGACAAAAGAACAACAGGGGGGGAATGAAAAAAAGGCAGCAGTACAAATTCAAGGGAAAAACCCAAAAAGTATACAAAGGGAGAAGGCTGGGCAAGTTACCGGGTTGAAGAGTAAATCAGAGTCCTTTTTTTGGGAGAAACAGGTCCCGGATCTCCTGGGGCGAAAGTATCCAAAAAAACAGGCAAAAGGGCCGGGGTCCACAAAACCCCGGGTGAGCCAAACGGCGAGCAAAAGGTTCCGGGTGTGGGGCTTTGCATTTTGATCTGAAACCGGAGAGCTGAAAAAACAGGGGGCCTTTAAAAAATCTTGGGGGAGGTATTTGGGGAAATTTGCCGCTGGCAAGGGAAATTAGGCAAGCAGACAGGGACAGTGGAGCGTTAAAGGCCCGAGTAAGAGAGTGGTGAGTCGAGTGGGGAAAAAAATTAAGGTGGTTTAAAACCCGGGGGGATTTAGAGGCTCATGACACCTTTCCCCCTTTTCCTCCCCCCCCCCATTCCAACATCTTCTCTCTCCACATTTGGGGGGAAAGTGTTTAAAATACGGTGTTCCCCAAAAGTTTCTGTTTCACCCCTGGTACTAAAAAAGACCCTGTGTCCCAAATGGCACCCTACTTCCTGCATAGTGCACTACTTTGGACCAGAGTCTGAAAGTAGTGCACTATATAGGGAATAGGGTGTCAGTTGGGATGTGACCTCAGTGTCAACCGTGTGATGTCTCACCCTGCGGTGACCCTCTGGTACTGAGAGAATCAGGCTGTCAAGTTAACAGTGCCAGCCTATTAGTTTGTCCTGGCCAGCACAGCTACTGTGGTTCAGGGAGGGCCATGGGCAACCAAGGACATGATCACTTATACATTTAAAATACAGAGTCGATAAGCTGCAGACTCCAAGATTAAACTGCAATATGCTATTTCCCATGTGCTGCCTGTATATGACATATTGTTTCTGTGGTTGTGTAATAGCCACACTAATATAGCGCATGGGAATGCTATTTGATTGATATACGACCAACTAACAGATAAGTATTTTAACTCATATTAGGTAATAAGATGCGTTTAAAACTAGATTATTTTCATTTAAATAGTAGTTAAACTGTCCTAGAATAATTCTGTGCCGTGACTCACCCACCAAACGAAAATACATCTTAAAACAAAAGAAAAATTGTCCCTTGAAAACACTAACTCTAAGCACACCCTCTGTAAGCATAGCGAACATGATGCATGCACTTTGATTGTAAGTATACCATGGAAATGGAGCATATAAAACTCTAAACTGATAGTTGCTCCCAGGTATTTATAATGGCCATGCAGTAGCCTGTCTGTGCTTCGTATCGTCCAGAAAATAGCCGTTGACACGATAACGTTCAAACCAGAAACAAATCTAAGCAATTAAACAGTGGATCATCAAGGACATAAAGCTTCAGTTGATTGAGGCGCTCCAAGGCATTACGATTGAGGAGAGTTGGTCACCACTGTGTGATACAGAATGTGAGAGACTTTCTTAGTTTCAGAACTGACTCTATCACAGGTTTTAGAGTACACTCACCAAGGGCGGAATCTTCCTTGAGTATATGTATGAAGACCAAACACTCTGGTGGATATGATCATTAACAGCAATGCTTATTTACGAAAGTTGAGAAGTTTCACACTCATCCCCAATTCCTCTCCTCCTCCACCCTAGGACCATGGAAACCTGGACAAGGTCCACACTTACACTAAACTGTATAGTAACACTATCTTTAAAAATGTTGTCCTCATAAAATGTATCTCATTCACGGACACTGGACTCCCCAGAACGGGACGTATTTTTTTGGTATTGAGCTCTTTTATAGATGACACAAACTGGAGGGCACAGAAAGTGTGATTTTTAAATGCTGATTACTGTTATCCACCAGGCCCACGAGAACATCGGTTAGGAGGTCCAGAGGTTAGAGGTAAATTTCGAGCGGTATATTATTCTATAGCCCTCTTTTATTCCTTGCTCTCAGAGGACTCCACAAGAGAGTCATTGTCCTATACGCACACAGCACACACACACACACACACACACACACACACATCACACACACACACAGACTCCTCACAACAACAGACTAATGGACAACATCAGACCATGACCGTGTTCTGTACTGGATCATGTATTGCATCTTCGTAGAAAAAGGTGTCAGAGAGCCAAAGATGGCTATAGTCCTGTGTGCCCCTTCAGTGTGGGTAGTCTGGCCAAGTATCAATCTGAATGAAGATTTTCTGGCCTTACACATTTCCATTGAAATTAAAACTGAACTAGAGTCTTGGTACATAAATTATAAATAGAGCTCATGAAACAGAATGTCAGAGGTTGACTGAATGTCTGAGGATTAGGGATGCATTTACACAGGCCTGTATGTGGTTTTGGAATGTTAGAGATAAACAGGAACCCCTCAATGTCCTCCATTCCCTAACAAGTGATTTGATATGGAACATAATTATTTAGTAACAAAACAACTTTAGTAATCTCTCCCCAGACTGGTTCTCAAAGGGTAACATTCAGTTTTTCAGACTTCTAATTATCCGCCTACACATGTACGTCCCTTCGAAGTTGTGCGACCTGTGGATAATGTTGGTGAAAATACTCAAAGCATCGTTAATAGCTTCTCCTACATAATTAGTGTATTCTCCCAGAGAAAGAAGTAGCTTCATGGATCAATCTCAAAAATCTCGAAAGATCCTGCGACTGATTCCTATTATCTAAGAAAAGTCAGGAACATTCTTAGAATCAAATGTGAGTGAATTTAAAGTGAGGTAAAAGAAAAAGAAAGCAATAAGACGAAATAAATCATCAAATACCAGGCAAGAGTTTTTGTTCAACAACATGCAATGTCAATTGTACACAAAAAAAAATTGGGGTATAGACAATTACAGTAACACGTTTGTGCAAAACATGGATTCAAATACTACATTATGAGCGGATAAATTTCAAGGCAACTAAATATAATACCAGAAGCATAATTGTTTGTTAAACAAACTGAAAATAGTTGCTTCCAACTTTCTGGACAATTGTGCTTTTTCCAGTAAATTCTGCTATACGTTTAACAAAAAAACCCCCTCCATCTTCATTCTCAACTATCAAAAGTACAGTTTCCTTACGCTGTCATTCTACTTGATGGAAAGCGAGTGGCAACGTATGACTTGTGCATGATTTTCAGAGACAGTCCTGGAAAACAAATCTTTCAACAGCTTGAGAAACAATCAAAAGGTTCAACAAAAAGTCCGTTACTTCTACTCTATATCCAGTGTTTGTGTAAAGCCCATGGCCAATAACCAGAGGAGTGGGTTGTTATTGAAGAGAAATCTTTGGATCAGGGCTTGTATTCATAAAGCTTCCAGAGTAGGAGACGGTGGAACTAGAAGCCGGTCCCTCCTTTCCATTTAATTATTATTCAATGTGATCTAAAAAGGCGAAACTTATCCAGATCACCCTCGCACCCAGGAACTGCAGCTTTTTAGAACAAACCGTTCTCTCTGTTTTTTGTTGTGTGTGAATATTTGAAGATGAAGAGTAGTCACTCACACAGCACGACGCTCGGTAAAAACTTCATTCATACTAGGCATGTCCAAGAAGTAATGTATGACTAATGGCCATCATGAAAAACTCTCCCTCGTGTGTATATTTTGAATGCACAGATTATGCTCTCTCTCTCTCCTCTCTTCTCTCTCTTCGCTCTGCGCTCTCTCTCTCTCTCTCTCTCCTGGCTCTCTCTCCTCTCTCTTCCTCTCTCTCTCTCTCGGGGGGTCTCTCTCTCATCTCTCTCTCTCCTCTCTCCACCTCTCGCTATTTCTCTCTCTCTCTTTCTTCCTCTCCCTCCTTCTCTCCGTCCCTCCCATCCTCTCTCTCTCAAATCTTACTGTGAGTAAAAGATTTCTCTCCAATATAATTTCCTGAATGGGCTGGTTTGTATTGGTTCTCCCTGTTACATTGAGTTTTGCCACACAAGCAAGTCTAATTTACATACCCCCCAATTAGTTCAATTCCCATTGCCAACACAATGGGATAGCCATATCGGTTATGACAACCGTGCATGGTAATTCATCACTGGCTATGCAATTTTGTAGTAATAGACACTCTGCTACATATGACTTCAAAATGGCCCAGTGGTTCTGGACTCAAATCAGAACCAAACTGAGTATAAAATGATTGAAGAACTCTGATTGGACAAATCTGCCGGCCCATAACTGAGTAACACAACTTCAAGAAAAAATAACTTATAAATTAATTATCATTTAGTAAGGGAATATAACGGTAGCTGAAAGTCAACGTTTAGTCCATGCCGGTGTATAAATTACATTTAACACGGGGTCTCTGAAATAATACGGTACTGTACGAGTTAAGTGTATGTGTCAATACAAGGGGGTTCTCAGCACTCTGTTTATGCAAAAACCATCATGCCTGGCAAAATCTGGCGTCTGGCTGAACATTGTTCTTGCAGTCATAACGGGCTATTGTTCCCCGAGGGAATCTCTTAAGCCAATCCCCCATTAGGTAAACATGGCTGTATGCTGTAGTTCCCCTTGAGAGCTGGCTCGTTGTTCAGGGACACTATCTGGAAGCTTGGTCTCAGTTCATTTCCATTATATAGTTATTCCTTTTTTGGGTCCCTGCCTCTCCGTAGTCGTCTTTTCTCCGGCCCTTGTTTGTATTTCCACTTGGTTCGAGGATTGACCGTCCTTCTTGGAATGTTGCACAAATATCTGAGGAGACGCACCAGGACAACGATCACAGCGCCTCCAATGAGGCCAGCCCAGGAGGAGGTAGAGCCTTGGGGTCCTGTTGGGTTTGCCTGCTCCGGCCACGACGGTCCTTTTTATTATCTGGACCTAGGAGACCGGCTTAAGTCACGCCTCTGAACACACTGTATCCTCCTTGGGCCGGTAGTTATGAACGCGTCTAAGGGGATGACAGCAATCCGGTAGGTGGATTAGAGCTCGAGGTTGGCCAGGCCGTATGCCCCGGCCCCTCCCACCATCCGATCCCGGACCGTGCTCCAGACAGCTAGGACCCGCCTCTTGGCCCAGTGACCTTGTAGGCTGTGACAGGGAAGGAGGCCACCCCCAGCTACGTGGATGGCTGAACCGTTGATCGGTGAACTTGATCTGTAGGGTCTCCCGCTCTGGGGTCCAGAGGTTGCAGGTTAGTCCTCTGTCCCGTCCTCTGGGAGAGGAGGAGGGAAAAGAGGGGGTGATGTGTGGGTGGGGGGAGGGAGCCCTGGAGGGGTGAAGAGCGAGTGCGTGTCTAATGGGAGTCTTTGGAGGAGGGAGGGGGAGCGGGATGTTAGGCCCTTGTGAGGTGGGGGTAGGTGGATGGGGGCGGCCGGGAAGCCGTGGTGCTGCGAGGGCACTGATCAGCTCGTGTTCACTCCTCTGATTACCATGCCACCACGACCCTCTCATCTTCCTGGCAACATGAAGCCGCGCATTTGAGGGAGGGTGGCGGTGACTTTAACCCAGTATGGAAAACCCATTTAATGCTGCGTCCACAGCCAAGGTTGTTCCGAACAGTGAGCTGTCCGAGGCTGACGATGCCGTCAAAGACCCCCCCTTGTCCGGACTGCGCTTGGTTGTTGGAAATTCCGCCTCTCTGCTTCTCATTCCCTCGAAGGCCGTCACATGTCTCATTTCATCTGATTTTCCTGAAGTTCAGCTTCACCAGAACGTCCCCCGGGAGGCAGCGGGTGGCGGGTAGGTGAGGGAGTTTCCGTGCCAGCGACAGCCCCGGAGCGTCACCAGGTCCTGGAAGTGTTCCGGGCGCCCGCACAACCCTCGTCTGTCAGCAGGTTCCCATCCAGCAGGAGGGCTCCAATACCCCCTTGTCACGTCCTGAACGCCTCCTCTCTGCGATAAACCGCGATCCTTTTCTCGTCCAAATCTCAGCTCTTTGAGATCTCCGGTAGACCTATAGGACGCTGCTCAGGTGATTCTTTGTAAGGAGATGTCTTGAGGCTGAAGACGGCCTCTCTGAATGCCCCCCTCCGTCCCCCGACCTGGAGATGGAATTATCGTCCAGGTGTAGCTCCTCCAGCCACAGCACTGGGCCAGTGCCGGTCCCGGGAAGATGGTCTGGATTTTGTCTCCTGGCAGGTGCAGCACCGCAACATTCTTGGCAGGTTATGGGGAAACTCGTCATCTGTTCCGTAGAGATCAGATAGTCTCCATGGAGGCTACGTGGTGAAACTCCAAGGGAAGCCGGCGTTGTTGATCTGGTTGTTGGAGGTAGAGGGTCTTGTAGCCCTCTCCGATCCCTTAGAGGCACCGAGGCCAAGGCTCCTCTCGTTACAGTAAACAAGTCCTGTCACAGCGGCACTCCTCTGGGCAGCTGGAGCCGGACGCCCGATAAACCTGCCATGTTCAAGGCCCGCAGTATTGGGTGTTGTGGGGTATCCACGGCCTGAGGAGAGACCCAGTCCTTATTCCACACACCCCTGACTGATCCATATGAACACTATGACAGACAGACAGTCGTAATAAAAACTACAATTCCAACCCCAACCCCACACGAAAAATAGGAACAAAATAGTAAAATCACTGTAACCAGCTTGTGTCTGCTTTCTGCTTGTTCCCTGCTCCAGCATAAAGCAGTGGGTGGGAGAGGCCAGCACACTGCTGGAGAGGCCTTCCTGCTGGTAATCCCTCAGTAATTGCCTGTCTAAGCCTCCCAACACAAAGCAATGGTCTCATTAGCAATGCCGCCTCCTCGCCGGCCTCATCCACGCTCGCTGCTACGGATGACAGAACATCTCATCACATTTTCCACTCACTCATCAGCCCCGCGGCGCACTGTAGGCCCAATTTTAAAATGGTGGCCTTACCAGAGACGTGGTAACGTACCCTTCATGGTTATATCGGCGAGCACCTCCCTCCTCCTTCTCTTCCTCTTCTTTACTTCTCTTCTCTCTCTTGCTGTTTCTCTCTTTCACCTCCACCCGGCTGGGCCCAGACTGATGCAGCTCGTTGGACGTGAAAATTTGGTATCCAGAGGCCTATTTCAACGAGACAAATAGAGAAATCAGTGGGCCTGTTCTTTCTTGAATGCATGTGTTTTCCTCCTCTAGTGACAGAAAGACGACTTTCATTTGAATCCACCGTCAAAGACAAGTGAAGAGTTGACAGACACACTTATTCATATTCCTCACCAGAATGCCCTGCAGTCAGTGGATATTATAATAACATGGTGGATGTTGAAGAACCATGCCTTGTTGAAACTAATAATATATCACTTACAGTACAGTGTTCTTACGGTGTCATTACATTAGAAAGTACAGCGTACGAAATGTTGTAATTAATGTATTACCCATTGTTTACAATGGCAATTGCATCATGAAATAGCTGTAACTGTATCTGTATTACCCTAGTTTTAAAAATAAATCACATGGTAGAAGTGTCTATAACTTTTCAGTAAAGCTTGTAGTTTTCCTCCAATTGGGGCATATCAAATCAACAATGGAAACATAATGTGTGGATTGGCACATTAATATTTTCATTTTTAACTTTTTAAAATTTCTTCAAGCACAATTTTGTACTGCCTGTGCTGAAGCTTACAAAAGCGAATGAACTCAACACACAGATAGAGAGCAAAATAAACAATAGAAAAACCATGCATACCTAAATGAATAAATAATCATAAACGAAATGAAGTAATTGATCATGAATAAAGACGAGAGCTGCCAAAATGTTCTTATGAGCGCTGAGTACGTGAGTGAGTGATGCTGAAGAGATCACTGGCTCTGTGCAGGTCAAACTGTAGAGGGCATTGCGGTGTTTAATCTGTCAATGCCACAGTGAATGGACAGAGCTGTGCTCCACTGCACTCACCGGAAGCACAGAGCATCCTCCAATGGTAATGATGCAGAGAGAAGCAAGAAAGAGTAGATACAAAGAAAGGGAAGAGAGAGAGGAGCGAGAGAGAGAGATGAGAGAGAGAGAGATAGAGAGAGAAGATAGAGAGATGTCGAGATAGATAGAGAGTGCCATGACATGAAGAATACATTTCATAACAACAAGCTCTTACATAATAGAGAATACACATAATCAATCATAACAACAGTTTATTTAAACATTCAAAATTTTTGTGGATTCAGTTGTTTTCGTTTAGAGGGGGAAGGCAACTTGCAACTGGAAGCTAAGCTGACATGAATGAACTGGGCTGGTCAACAGAGATAAAACTGACAAATGTCCTACTGTTCGGAGGAAACTAGATCGAATGTGGACTCTCACTTTTCTCTCTGAAGGAAGAGGTACTGTGTGCACAGGTCACAAGACAAGACACAATACTCCCAGTGACGTTGATTGGCCTAAATATGCAGTTCACATGGACGATTTGCTCTAAAACATCAGTGGGAGTTGACATCTTTAACTTTTTTATGCAAAATACAAGAGAGTGTAAAGAATACACTAAAGTGACGCAATACAGTTTGTATTCAAGTTCAGAGCAGTCACAAATACATGTGGCACCCACCTCCCATAATTGACAAGTCCACCCCCATGCAACTGTTTTTTTTTGTCCTTCTAGCAGACTCTCCTTATCCAGAGCAACTTACAGCAGCAACTTAGGGTTAAGTGCCTTGCTCAAGGGCACACAACAATTTTTTTCACCTAGTCGGCTCGGGGATTTGAAACCAGCGACCTTTTCGGTACCTGGCACTACGCTCTAACCCTAAGCTACCTGGCCCCGTCCTCAAATGGTATCAATTTTTTTTAAAGCTGTTGGGACTGATCTTCAGATATGACCACATTAATTATAAAGGTAGATAAGAACATAAATGGGGACAGGTAATGATATTACACATGGCCTGGCGTGTCCATTTCCTCCAATGTCCATCCAAAATGGTCAAGACAATTATTGATTATGTAAGGTACCTCTCACTGTTTTACCCCTGTCAGGGCAGGAGGATCAGAAGCCTGGCTGAACAAAGGAGGTTAGTTTGTGTTCCTCCCGCCGCAACGAATGGTAGACTGCAACAACATGGATCATCAGCTTTCTAACTGGCACTAATTTATTTTCCCAGGTGAACCTCGGCAACGTCTGTAACATCTAAGGCCGATGTCTCAATAAACCATCAATTTGAAGTTGATTACAGTTGCCCGCAGCAAGCGAGGTAAAAGTTCCTCACCGTTTCCCATTTGTCATTAGACCGCGTGAATTTGTTGCAAAAAAACGCTGCGCAAAAAAGGGGAAAATAGGAGAGACTTGCCAGATATTTCTGTCTGAAACGGCTCACTACACTTGCAAATGGCTTATTCAAATACAACGTGAACATATACATTGATTGTTTGTTTGAAAACATTATGCAGTTTTAAGTTTTGTAAGGCTTGTTTTTTTCCCATTTCAAAATCAACATATATGTAGCCTAAACATATGCATAAATTCCAATTAATTAATTTTTTCAGTTAAAGCAAGCAATCTGCGACTGCTAGAAATCCTTTTTAGCTTTTTAAATGATGATATATACCCATTGAATACTTAAATAAGATAAGTTATGATGCCTCATAGCTAGTATTTCCACTGTCATACCAAAAACCGAACTCAAAATCGAAGCTTGTTTTACTCTATTGCTTGTAAACACTTTAAATTGTAAAGAACACTGTATAGCCTCAAAACATGGTTGAAACATAATTGATATATCATGGATGGTCAGTTCCTTGCATCCATTAGCTCTGTCTATGAATTTGAGAGTGGTGGACTTAGTCCAACGCCCATCCTTCAGCCCTCTTTACGCAAATCAGTGCTGGTATTTGCTCTGCTTAATTGTTTTCAACAGCCTACTGCCCCTTTAAATTTTAAAAATATTGTATATTTTAACCATCGCATGGCTATTACATCCCGATTGGACACATGTAGGTATTTCACATCATGCATCTCCAGATGTCAGCGATAAAACAAAATAGATAGCGTTAGGCGCCCAGTAAGACGGCAATTGAATCAACCAAGTCATGCTTCTTAACTTCACAACCTTTTTCTGTCTGGATGCTGAAAAGCCGTTTTACGTATATATCCATTGAATCATGGTGAACTATCCTGGTCAGTTTCCCCCCAGTAATGACACCCCCGCGCAGGCTTTTACGCTCTCAGGCAACGCTGCGATTCCACATCTTGACGGGTGTACTCCGCGTCCTAGCACCTCTGTCCGAGACTCCCTGAAGGTGGGCGGTTTGCGGGGGGGGGGGGTGGGGGGGGGGGGGGGGGGGTTTTTTTTTTTTTTTGTTTTGTTTTTTTATTTTTTTTTTTTTGTTTTTTTTTATTTTTTTGTTTTTTTTTTTTTTGTTTTTTTTTTTTTTCTTTTTTTTTTTGTGTTTTTTTTTTTTCTTTTTTTTTTTTTTTTTTTTTTTGTTTTTTTTTTTTTTTTTTATTTTTTTTTTTTTTATTTGTTTTTTTTTTTTTTTTTTTTTTTTTTTTT